TGAATGGACCGTAAAACACATCCATCCGACTCTGTGAATGGACCGTAAAACACATCCATCCGACTCTGTGAATGGACCGTAAAACACATCCATCCGAGTCTATGAATGGACCGTAAAACACATCCATCCGAGTCTATGAATGGACCGTAAAACACATCCATCCGAGTCTATAAATGGACTGTAAAACATCCATCTGAGTGATCTGTGAGTCACTTCTTAAATCAAGAAAGCTCTCTGAATTCTACATTACTAATAATGATTTACTACACCATTTGAGGTCTTACTTAAGACTAATTGGTTTGATGATTGCAATGAGATACCTTTTAGATTTTATTTGTTAAGAGTTTAAACTCAAGTTACATGCTTTAACAATAAACCATTCAAAACTTCAATAACCTTAAAAATCATTATCTAAATATTAAAGCTCTTAAATAACATCATGAAAATTTCAATACAACAGTTACATATGTCAGACCCTTAACTTACAATCCAATAGTACGTGTCTTTCATCACATCATACACAAGTTCACCAAAACTAAGGTTCATCACCACACTAGGTTCCACTTAATAAAAAGGTTTAATCCAACCTATAAAAGGTTCATTAAGTATCCATTTTCTTCTTGTTACATTAAAACATTTCAGAGAAACAACTAAAAACTTCTCATGGGAAGACTTCAAAAAAAAAAAATCAGTTTTAGTTTGAAAGTAGTTATATAGGTAATATTTTCATTACAGAATAAACCATTCACAACTACTTTAACAGTATTCTTTTTAACCATAGCATAAAAATTACCTTGTTTTTCTTTAGCTCTTGTTGTAGAGGTTCCATTGCATTTTGCTGTTCAAGCCAACTCTGTTCTAAGGATGTAATCTAAAAAGCAATTATGACAATTGTACTCCAAAATAAAAAAGTTATCTTCATATACAGTTTCAACTCATCCATACTTCTCAGCATGCTTAAGCCACAAAACATTCTGATATGTTATAATAGCAATAACACAGCCACATAGTTACACAGCACAAACTGAGCAACTGAATTTATGATTAACATTATTCATGTTTATCATCCCATTGTACACATGTATCATATTTAGACAACAAATGAAATAATACTTAAAATATCACTAATAATTACAAGCTCTATCATCAAAACGATGGAACTTCTGAGTCAAAATGTTACGCATGTAAAATCCCTTTAAAAAAGTTAAATCAGCAGTATAAATCAATAATTAAAATATTTTTTGAAATTAATTAATATTACTTACTACAATACCATACAGAACTTTAATGAACAATGACAATAAACTTCACTGAATGATCAATGATACAGCGTCACCCTAAATGCAAATATGCAACTTAAAAATCTTTTAAATGAATTATATGTTGAACATAAAATAAAAGTTACCCAATTTTCATGGCTTCTAGTTCACCCTTAGCAACATCTCAATAAACTGACAATCACTGCTACTTTAGAGAACATAATAATTACTTACTAAACTATCAACCTGATTTTCATGGCTTCTAGTTCACCCTTAGCAACATCTCAATAAACTGACAATCACTGCTACTTTAGAGAACATAATTACTTACTAAACTATCAACACAATTTTCATGGCTTCTAATTCTCCCTTAGCAACATCTTATTCCCTGAACAGTCAATATGGTAATTACTTACTGAACTACAAACCTGATTTTCACAGCTTCCAATTCTTGCTTGGACAGGGTGAACACAATTTTAAAAAACATAATAACTACCTGCTCAACTTAAAGCCTAATTTTTACAGCTTGATATTTTTTCTTAGCAACATGTCCGGTTGGTGTTTAGCAAGTATTCAGTATTCTCTTTAAAACTGTGTTCATTGTGTCCACTGAGTGACGTGTTGCTAAGGAAGAGCTGGAAGCTGCAAAGAAACACTCAGTGGATACAATGAACACAGTTTTAAAGAGAATACTGAATACTTGCTAAACACCAACCTGTTTCTTTGCAGCTTCCAGCTCTTCCTTAGCAACGTCTCGTTCCTTGGACACAGTGAACACAATCTTCTCTTGAGAACACAGTTTTTCTGTTGAGAGATTCTTTGCAGTTAAACTACTATATAATAATAAACGTTTATTATTTTAATATTCTTTAAGAACACTTTCAAATTGAATGTTTAATGATACTTTTCATTAATGAAGATTTTTTAATATTATTATAGTTAAATTAACTTTCTTAAATGAGTTAAATTTCTTATCTGTAATTAAAACGCTAAAATGGAAATTTAATTAGGGCAACACAACAAATAACAAATTATATATGTCCATTGAAATCTTTACCTAGATAAATATATTTAATCACTCATGTAAGATGAAAATTCAAAAAATTTTAACTTACGAATGTAAAATCGTTCCTTTCTTCCTCTCTGTAAAAAGTCAGTTACATAAGAATGTAATAATACAAACATTGAAGAAATTATGTATTTATAACACATGGAATCATTTTTTCTAAGTTCTGTATAAAATTTTACATTTAGATTTAAATATTTGATTAAATTAATAACTTAGCAAAAAAGATAGTTCATTGAAAATTGAAACATTTGAATCTACAACCTAAATACAAAAACTCCTTTGTTTTACTTTGTGGTCCAAGTACTTGAAATAACTTTGGTTTTCCATCTGGAGTATTATTGTTCCTGCATCCATAAGAATCATAACACCATATGACATGCATACCAACTTATAAATTTACACTGTCAATAATGTTTCCAGTTATTTCTATAAGATGGAATTATTTTATACACATACTTCTTCATATACATTCCACACATCAACTAGCACTGTAGTCTTAGCTACTGTATAAAACAATTTCCATATCTGGAATTTACTTTTGTTTTGTATTTTATAGAATTTTGTTCATCTAAAAAAACTTGCATCAAATTCTAGAGAATACTTCCAAAGCACAGAATAACCTTTAAGGTGAATCCTAGTCTACACCTGAAATTAAGTACACAGACATACAAATGACACATGAGCATTTAGCAAAGTAAAAGTTTACCTTAATAAGCCAGAAACTTATAATCAGCAAAACAGATGATGTTGCAAAAATTGTCAGGAACACTGTAACTCGTGGAGACAAACCATTTTTCTCAAGGTCAGCTAGAGCAGCCTGAATTGGCTCTGGAAGCTGTATATGTAGAAAGAAAATCATTCTATAAACATTATATGCTAAATGAAAGATTCCACATAGTCCAAGAGCCAGGAGTCATTTATTTGCTTGAAATAACCAAGTGTCTCATTCGTATTTTTTATTAAACATACTATTAGGCTACTCAAAATGCCTAGTCTTAAGGTTCCACAGTAGTGGACTAGAGCACTGTAGCCAGAGAACTGATGAATGGTGGGTTCCACAACTGAGGGTAAACAAATATGATTTAATCCTCATATGCATTATTTTTCAACACATATATGGCCATACAATATATAAAATGAAAGGTTATGATGCGATCTATCATAATATCACAATTTTTTGGTGAAATCAGCTAGTATGAGCAATCTGACTCCAAAATTAAGATGTTTTTAGTTAGTTTTTTTTTTTTGTCTGTTTATTCACAGGTCTTCTTTTGTATGTCTCATAATTTTATTCAAAAGCTATACAGCTTACAAATTTATATCTGTAATGATATTCCTATGAACATTTATGTATTTAAATGTCTACTCAGTGTTTAATTTAACCAAATGTTATTATTTATATGCAACAACCTCAGTACAAGGATGTCAGTAAGACAGGAAGTAGATGACCATAAATAGAAATAACTCCTTGAGACTACAAATTGATTAAACTGATCAGATTTCAAAGGTTTATTATTGGCTTTTTATCAGGTTCTATAGTTGTTTTATTTTATGTTATCATCAAATACAACAATATATGTCCTTAAATATATCATTTGGCCAAATGCATGTAAACATGCAGGCAGTAAGACTGGCAGTAATCACATGCAGGCAGTAAGACTGGAAGTAATCACATGCAGGCAGTAAGACTGGAAGTAATCACATGCAGGCAGTAAGACTGGAAGTGGTCACATGCAGGCAGTAAGACTGGAAGTGGTCACATGCAGGCAGTAAGACTGGAAGTGGTCACATACAGGCAGTAAGACTGGAAGTAATCACATACAGGCAGTAAGACTGGAAGTAATCACATACAGGCAGTAAGACTGGAAGTAATCACATAC